GTTGCTTCTCCCAGAAACCTCGTGCATGGATGTCAAGTCTTGCGTCTGCAGCTTTGTTTGCTCCTTTGCTTAGTTTCTCATCTGAGATTGATTGTAACAAGGGCTCAATCTCTACGTCGTTGCATACTGTGCTAAGAAGCTCAGCCTCCAGATTGCGTAATTCGTTGTGACGTTGAATTACGAATATATTGTTTTTTTTGTAAGGATCATTTATGCATAAATTAGCAAGTAAATGTGGACAAACAAAATATTTTTCAAATATTTTATAAGCCATTTTGAGACATCAATACTTAACAAATTTGAGTTTTTTTCTGAAGATAGAGCAGCATTTGTTTGCTTTCTACAGACAGTCACTCTTAATAACTTATCCAACACATAGAGAAATCAAAAAACTTTAAGACAAAGTAAATATAATATAAGTATAAATACAATCAGTTCCTAATTTCATGGAAATATTTGTAAAACTTTGCTCTAAAATTTATTACCAGAAGCTATAAACCTCCCTCCCCATAATCAATGTTGTTTTGGGTTAATGATTGGTAGCACATRAGCATTTGTCCATTCAACATTGCTACGTGGAGGTGGGTTGGAATAGAAAAGCTTCTTCAATATTCTTCACTTGCTGATTGAGACAACAGTCGCTACAATGAAGTTTATCAGGCAGTACAATTGCTGTCAATCAAAAGAATGTGTCTGGTACTTTTACATACTCTATTTGATGGTGGTGTATTGCACAATTGCCCTATTTCACTATGACATCACTGCTTTTTTATGTGGGGGATAGAATCGCTAAATCCAATAGAAAATTCAACAAAATTTGCTCCTAGCRAAACAGTTTAATCTAAAATGGCCTGGTTTTCAGATATAATATGTGTTAATATGTACTAAAAAACAATCTGAGCGTTTGCTGGCCATTCCACTTCTCTTCGTGGATTGATACGGGTTTTAGAACAGTTTTCGGTGAATTTTTGCATTGATTTGAGCCCCTCTGACGACCATGAACCTTGCATTTAAACAATAGATTGTTTTGATGTGATGTCATAGTGAAATAGGGCAATTTCCTTGTAATGACTGTTGTCTAGATCAGCACATAAAAGTGATAAAGAGAAGTCTAAACATTTTTTCCTATTTAAAAGGTTTGAAGCTYTTTTTTAATTAAATTTTCTTCAATGGTGGTATTATGAAGCAGCATAAATCCTTTAGACTGMTAACGTAGCATAACTTAAATTATTTCATGAAAGGTTGATAAAGGAATGTAACAGAATATTGAATAAAACTATGTCAATTATTGTATAGTGATATGACAGATATCACTATCTATGTATTAAATGCAGTCATAACCATGTATTTTTATGGGTTTTTACTGATCTTTATAATGTATTAATGGACATAAGCATAACCTAATATAAATATGGACATTTCTTTCAATATTAAATTTTTGTCCATCCCAACAATCTATAAGCTTATATTTGTTCAAAAAAGAATGTTAACAGTACCATAACTTAAAATTAATACTTACAGTTGTCTGGAATAAAGACCTTCGTCAATATCCATCTTTTCACCGTGATTGTCTGACATTTCGATCTACAAGAATTATTAATAAATGAAGTCAACTAGAAACGTCTAGATTATTCTGCTTAACATAGCACTAATCAAGATCGCGTCATGAATATAAATAGAATGACTAGCTTACTGCTTCTAGTGAGTGGCTGTTGGAGTTCAGAGAGTTCCCGGTTGAATTACTGAGCTGAAGGTTGTCAGAAGTTCTTGGACGCTTCGCAGGAGGCGAGATGGTGGATGGGTCTTGCTCAACTGAGGACATCTACCGGGCTCATCAAACTAAAATAGAGGATTCTTTATACCTCAGCAGTACCTGAAGTTAATTTTTGCTAAATACAATTTGATCTAGTTCGATAACGATTATTACTGACCGCAAAAGTTTAAGGAAAAGCTTTTCTTTCCGTGAAAAAAACGTGACTTTTTCTCTCCTAAGAAGAGAAATGAAAAGTTSAGCTTAGTAGCCCGGCCGGCAAGTAGAATGAAAAAGTCCACAGGGATCCCATTCTTCGAAATAACAAAGTCTTCACTCCCTTACAACTCTTCCTTATCCGGCCCGAGTTCCTACAGAGTATGGACAGGACGGAGGAAGGGCACGACCATTTGTCGTAAATACCGTTTTCATAAGAATTGTTTCACATTATATTAGTAGCTTTGGAGCATTTAGCGAACGTTAATGTTAATTTACTTGGGTTAATTAACGCTGTTGAAGATTTCCTCTCCCGGTTTCCTGCCATTCCTACAGTAGCCTAATAAAAGTAACTTTAGTGAACTTGTTGTAACTCATAGGATGGCAAAGCTTATCAATAAATTAATTAATTAACACAACAAATTCAAACACATGACAACGTTCGAAAACAAAAGTATGACATACATAGATCAATCTTGGTTATATGTAAAGGAAATGGACGCTCCACCCGTACTATCCCATTCCTAACTGAACAAAAAAACTCATCCTAAATATGAAGAATAATAAATAGATCGACTGTAATGGATTCGTGTTTATATAACAGAGCCAGGACTAGGGAGATTGTGGTTATCTTGTGTAATTATGTACATTCAACTTTTTACGCCCAGCGGTGGGCGAGCTATGACGGACAGGAAGCCGTTCCTTCTTCTTACTTATAGAATTCAATTTCGTTCTTTATACCCTTGTCATGATATCCTGGCGATATAGAGTGTTCAATCATTCCATTTGAGATACGTGAAACGTCAGTTGACAAGCARAAATGATACTGATCATGAAGACGTATTAAATAGCACGGAAAAGAAAATGATTCAACTTATCATGACGTCGAGTGCGTGTATATGCTTGTAAAGTCCAGAATGAATGCCGAATAGAAAATGAAGTGATATCAGCTGCTTTCGACTTATCATGATAGAGCTCTGCAAGTCACAGCTTGTTTTTCTTACTTGAATGTTTTCACTTCAATTTGTTCGAGGGCAGTACCTTTATTTTTTATATGATCTGGTTAACGTGCGGATATGACGTAATACGCTATTGATCTTGAAACGGACGCGCAAAGTTCTTTATATGTAACGCGTTGCGAAGTTGTGTTACGGCATTCGAGTTCATCAGCTAAAGAGGGAAGAACGAGAAGACAGAAAATCTTTCTTTCTCCTGAGACGAAAAAACAAATCGAAGTATGAAGAGTTTAGTTTGCGTTGGTTTTTTGTCAGTATTGGCTGCGGTTCAGTGTGCTGGAGTCCCAGCTCAGGATGAGCACATTGTTGGAAGGGAAAGAAGATCAAGTCCTTGGGATTTTTTTAACACAAATAAGGACACGAAGAAGGTCGACAAGAAAAAACGTAAGCCAGTACCAACTACTCATGCAACTACAATTCCATCAACAACAGTAAAAACAACAAGTACACCGAGTGCGAGTGTTAYGACTGTCAAGGTACGTTTAATAGTTTGATCATTCTCGAGGGGATATTTTATTGCTGCCTTTTATAACCGTAAGCTTAACACGCATTGTAAAATAAAGCTTATGGGCGTTCAGTAAAAATTGCTGCACGTGTTTCTACAAAACCCCAACAACTCAAGCAAAATAATCATATCATGGTTTTGTATATACATAAAGTGAAAACATTGTTTTTGGGAGAATGCACGAAATATAGCACGTCAGTCTTTATAAGTTTTTGAACCATCGCCAAGAGTATTGACGAATTTCTTTTAACACCTTGGAATTAGGAATCTAAAACCGTTGGTTCTCGCTGCATGCGAGCAAAAAAAGTGCCAAGTGTGTTTTGTTAGGACAAAAATACTATCACATTACAATTTTTAAAAAGTGTTACTTGTAGAGGAGACTGTAGATATTTCAATTATCCCCTTGATCCACTCGTTATTAAATTYCCATGTATCACCCTTCAGTTTTAATCTATTATATATATATGGCCTTGGATCCCTCATAATATCAAGCTACRCATTGCTGTCACACTACATACCCTGTGATTGATTACATGAGGTCAAATAACACTTTACATATTTCTGTGTTTATACTACATTCTAGAACGAGATGCCTGAATACATTGCAGAAAAAATGGGAAAGCTAAAGACCCAAGATCAGGTTCTTAACTTTTTGGGAATTACTGGATCAATGAGTCAAAAGATTACTGCATCTAAAAAGAGTCTGCAAGGTTTAGGTAAAAATATAACAAAACAAAAATTAGGCAGTATATATACTGAAAATAAAGCTTTTGTTACCATGCAATAATTAACTATCTCAGATCTACATAACTCATTTGGTAAAATTGACTATTATATAATTATGTGAAAATTTGTGTTTTCAGGTGCTTCTGGTCAAAGTTCTGGATYGTCTGATGCAAATTGTAAGTTGTTTTTTTTTCAAAATAAGTCTTTCATATTTTAACAGTGTTACACAATCAATAAAAAATGCTAGTGTGAATTGYGTTGACTATGGTATAAAGCTGTTAATATTGTCTCTATCAAAAAAGATTGACTCTGAATGATTAGGTCATAAAGCCTTGTCTAATTATTGATTTTAATTTATGATAATTAAAGCTGAATGGACAACATCAACTGCATGTTTACCTCGTCCTCAAGTAATCCGATTCCCACAGCCAGACCTATATCATGGTGTTATATATCCATTCTGTGCCATGGCTTTACGATGTGGTGGTTGCTGCTTTGTGGATATGCATGAATGCGTTCCAGATCAAGTACAGAATATAACTCATCTTGCTTACTATGTGCCTTACAACATGGTTTCATCACAGAGAAATTGTAAGTTTTCGATTTTAAGCACCACTATAAGCTATATACAAAAGTATCATACATATATGGTAGTTAAAAAACATTTCTGTTTTTTATTTATCGTAGCACGCAAAAAACGCTCTTCTCATGAGTTAAGACAAATTGCTGTTGAGAAACACCTTTCATGTAAATGTCAATGTAAGGTGAGACCACAAGACTGTGATCCTGTRAGACAATATCATCATGAATCAACATGCCAGTGTAAATGCAAAGATGATTTCACTGCATCAAGATTAAACTGTGCTGACCCATTCAGAGTAAGTTGATCATTCATTACTTATCAGCGCCTTAGATAAATGTATATTACTAGGGTAGTATCAGTGACAGTTTTCTTGCATTTTGATTTTGTAGTATAACAAGGACACATGYAGCTGCAAATGTTCATATGAACACAAACATTGTCCTGTAGCAAAGCAACAGTGGGATAACAAGCTATGCAAGTGCACATGTGACAGTGGCATTAGGTGCCCAATGGGACAAGTCATCAATAAGAATTCCTGTGAATGTGAAGATATTCAAATGTCTGACAAAGTACCTCTGTGCAAGAAGAGTAATAGTTGTTAGAAAAGAACTATTTGAGAAAAGTATACTCCTGCTTCAAGTTTGCTAATATACCCCTTGCAGCGCTTTGGAATGCAGCTCAATCTGGGGGACMAAACAATAAGTTCCAGTTCTCAGGAGATTGAAATTCTTTTTTTTTTTGTCTTCAAGATCAAGCGCACTGCTTTAACATCACATGCAAGAGGGAACCTTTAGGGGAGCTTTCCTTATTTAGGGGGAGGGATGTTAAGTGAGAAATGAAAAGATTTTAACTTTGCTAATTGAGGAAACTTGAAAAAATTAATAGTTTTTATGATTTTTCTATTCATTCCCTACCATCAATAAAAAGGAAAGGGTCTCTCAGACAAGTCAAAAATTAAGATGCATCTCATATCATTGAATGACATAAACACACTGATCATTACATCCCCACAATGTTTCATCCTGCTTTGACCATTTATTGGAGTCTAACTTTCTTTTAACCTGATTTTCATCAGCTAAATATCATACTGAATTACATGTACAGCTGATAATGTTAGCATGAACTAGAATATTCATGACTTCAGTGGGTTATGAATTCAAAACATTAACATCATTTTGGGTTTCTTTTAGACAAAAAATTAAACATTAAATTATTTGTTCAATTAATCCCATTTATTTCTATTTTTATACTTTTTCTATTATCCGAGAATAAACGTTATTTTTCTAAATTGTGTTTYGTAGTATTTCTAATCATTAAAACTTAGGCATTACAGCCTAATTCTGTTATCTAAGTGACTCCAGACATCTGTGATAAGCAGAGTGTATTATTCTGATTGTGAGTTGTAAATATTCCCACAACTCAAAAGCCCATTTCCCATGGAAAAACGTTTGTCAGGACAAGAGAACATTTATCGCTCATGATCGGAATTATTAGGAATGCATTTGGCCTTTTACATTGATGGAAACTAAAGTGCCAAACGTCTGGAGTTGGGTGGGTTACAGAAGCATGAAACAGGTTGAAACCTGATTTATCTAGAAGTTGTTGGTAGTTCAAATTTGTATCCATAAAAATGAAACGTAAGAAACGTTTATCCAATGCTTCCAGATTATTAGTGGTTCTTGATCCAGAAAAGTGCCACATGGTACAACAAAGTCCTTGTATAGCCTCCAGAACAAATCATTGGCAAAGATGATGAAAAATGAAAAACATTGCGCACAACGTTGCGCACGACGATGCAATTTACTTTCTTGCAACCTGTGAAATGTTAGGTGCAACGACAGCAACTCGATTCTGTAAGGCCAAAGGTTGCGCAAACGCCGCGCACACTGAAGTAGTTTTCTTGTGACTGTGAAATGTTGGGTGCAACAACAGCACCTTCAACCAATCCAACGGTAGCAAGTTCTTGTCCAGCGTAACTATATTTACCCAGGTTTGTAGGCGTTTTGCTTCAGACTTTGAAATGCATTTAGAAATGTATTTTGTTGCACTTTATTTTAGTATGCGGCCCAAATAAGGAAGCCAGACCACAAGCAACGCACGATGGCTTGACAATCCTTCTCACTTTGTCTTTTAGTTTGGTTATTGTTACTGGGCTCATACCACTCAACAAATTCGCACTTTTGACAAAATAATGTTCACAATATTTGCAGTCCAAGAAATTTTCTAAATAGCAGAGAGTATCAATGAATCGTTCTCCCATTTCATTTTCCCTCCAGTCGTACGGGTCACTCATTTCATCAACTAAATAAAATAGTGTTGTTTGCATGTGAGATAAGGAAAGTTCTCCAAATAGATCATCAAGTTCACGCAGTTCAATCAAAATTTCTAACAGGCACCGCTGTGTTGGAAATAACTGCAAAACCTTCTTGCGCTCTGCACTTGCGAAAGACAACATCCAAAGGCTCTCTGGGTCGCTCATCGGTCGATCGCAGGGTTTGGCAAGAGCATGGGAAGGGACTGCAGATTTAGATAGACGCTTGAAAAATTCAAGTGACGAGCAATGCAGTCTTATAGAAGGAACCATATCAACGAAGAGCTGTCCTCCATTAATATCAAGAACTACAGTGGACCCGTCACAGTATACTGTAACACTGTCTATATCATCAGGCAGGTTATCCAAACCCATCTGGACATTGGAATTCATTGCAATTAAAGATTTTTGTATCGTTAACTGAAGCTTTGAACGYACTAAACTAGCAGATAAAAACCCTTCATCTGTGACGCAATCGCTCCAATTAAAATTTTGCTCTGAATCTACTGCTAGTCTGACAAAACCTCCTTCATCAGCACTCTGTRCAAACACATTTTGATCGCAACCATCTAAATACACTGGAACTTCAAATTCGAACCAATTGGACCGAATTTCTGTAAGTTCACAGTATTTTGGATTACGTTGTAGGAGATCTGTAGCAGTAAACCTATCGTTGACAAGCTGTAGGTTGATTAGTACCTTAAACGCTGTTGTAAAAGCTAAACGCTTGTTTGTCAGTGATTTTATCCTTCCATTTTCGACTTTTTTGGCGTAGAACATTTGAAGTTCTCGAGAAAAAAGTTCTTCCAAATTCACGTCTTTTCCTTCCATTTGGTCAAGGGACTTACACGATCCAAGCATATTTAGCTGTGTTAAGGAAGAATAACGCTTACTTGACAGCAAATTCGTCTCACTCAAGGTTTTTTTGTTCAGTCCTGATTTAGCTGAAAGGCAGGTTGAAGAGAGAGACTTTTTCTTSGACAATTGAAACGACGACCGTTTTTTAGAGGACTTTTGTCGCTTTTGGGGGATTTTGGCTTTTTGGATCTCGTCGGTTGCGATTGGAAGTTGAGAATCCATATTGTTTCAAAAGCTGAAAAATCTAAGAAAAGGAGATATTATAAATATAAGCTTGAATAGAAATTTCGCACAAGTTACTGAATGACAATAAATCCATGCCACCTGCTCGCCAGCTGCCCATATCAAAATAGTCACGTGACCTGGAATACCATTCCCCATCGAAAAGTATACAGCTAGATTTAAAATCTATTAAGTTTCCCCTAAAATCAAGAACTCAGACAACTATATTCTAGTATATTGGAAGCTGACTGCTGACAAACAATTAGAAGCTGGAATTCGGCACTGTGTTCCGGTGCATAGCCCCGCTGTTAAAGGCACACTGCATCGCAGTACAAGCGTATTGCTTTTCATAGAGACTCGCCTACTGCCCGCCAGGCAAAACCCCCTCTTTTGGGAGGAAACCTGGTCCCTCCCAATGCAGTGTTAGGCGAAAAACGACCTTGAGGGAGTAAGGTCCTAAACTAGATTAAACTTCATAGAGTTTAAAATATTTCTAAGAAGAATAAAACAGAATAAGAATTCGGTTTCGCATGCACAGTCGGGCTAGAATGAAAACCTTCCCTAGGAGGTTGAAGCCCGCCTTTTGCTGTCGAGTTACCATAGCAACCAATTGCCATACTTGGAGAACCGTGAAMGCAATAGTTTGCTGCTATTCTTCGAAACGCAGCAAACAACAACATTACTACTAATATTACTAAATATAGTTCCTTTTATTCTAGCTAGCATGCTTTTCCTTTTAAATTTTTATCACGCTCGTMAATGAACACTATGTGGAATTAAGTTTCAGTCATCTGCATTTTAGGCTAATCGACAAATGTTATGCTAGGATTATGTTAAATGTAGTATAAACCTGAAATATAGGCTGTTTTAATCATGACGTTTGAATAAATGAATGAAAATGAAAGGGRAATCGATTATGCAGCCTTAAGGTCAGCGGTATATGGTATAGTTGACAGGCGTATGACGTCAGTCTTCTTGTTCGATGAAGCAAGTTGTTTGTTGAAGGAAGAAGGTTGCACTAAATATTATCAAAAGAAATCATGTCTACTCCAGCAAGAAGACGTCTTATGAGGGATTTTAAACGGTGATTAGTTAGTTTGATTATCGATTTACTCGATACATACTATTGCAGGTCTTTTTATTTCTCAAAACATTCGGGAAACTTAGATTTTAAGAGGCAATTTTAACGAGTGTTTTTCATTTTCTGTTTTTCAGATTACAAGACGATCCTCCTGCTGGAGTKAGCGGAGCTCCATCTGAAAATAATATCATGATATGGAATGCTGTAATATTTGGGTAAGTATATTAATAGTGTGTGAGTCTTCCCTCGAATCGTGCTTTAATATTCTAGTATTTTCTTATAATTTATTGTGATGTTGATCTTCCTTCTTATCTGTTACAGGCCCCGTGATACGCCATTTGAAGATGGTAGGTTGGAATAAATAAAATTAAAATTACTATTACAGATTTCTTTTCATATAAACTGTTTTTTTTGGTCGTGAACGTGCACGTTTCATTTTGTATTTTTAGGGACTTTTAAGTTACAAATGGAATTTACTGAAGAGTATCCGAATAAACCACCAACAGTTCGTTTCATATCCAAAATGTTCCATCCAAACGGTAAGACCAAAACACAAAACATATCCTTATTTGATAAATATCACTTTAAAATGTGTACATTTTCGTAMATGAAAAGCCTGAAGTGACGCATGATTTAAACAAATATGTTCTGTTCACACAAACATGAAATATTGAAATACAAAATCGATTTCCTTGTGTATCGGTGAGATAGAAAAACTGTAATCGGATTTTGTTGTAATACTGTGACTAGCAAAAAAAATTGGACAGTTGAGAAACTAGTAAGGTTCCATTACTTAACTATAAGGGAAATTCATTAAACTTCATTTATTGCTATAGTATATAGGATGTATGAATGCGGTGAGTCTTGAAAAACTCCGCAGTAAAAATTGCTTTTGTTTCTTTATTTTTCTTTGTTTCTCCATATCATAACAAACGATGAAATGAAAGACACACGGTGCAACATTGCACACAACATTGCAAGCAATAAATTTGAATCGGGGTGACACACATTGCAACAAAATCATGCAACATGGCTTGTGTCAGCCTGATATGTTAAGATATATGGTCAGAAGTTATAAATTTGATGCAAGCTTATTGGCTGGAAATTTCAAAATGCAGGTAATGTTGCAGCCATGCTCATATGATGAAATTTGTTGCGCACCATGTTGCAAGAGTAGAGCCCGATTCAACTTCAGATTTGTTGCATGCAACAAGTTTGGGGTAGACACATTGCAACATTCCAGTTTCATGCAATGTTNTTGCAAGAGTAGAGCCCGATTCAACTTCAGATTTGTTGCATGCAACAAGTTTGGGGTAGACACATTGCAACATTCCAGTTTCATGCAATGTTGCATGCAATGTTGCATGCAATGTTGCACTGTGTGTCAGCACCTTAATATTTTGGCTTGTTTTCACATTCAGTAAAATCCATTTACTTGTAAAAATGATAAGGAGCATAAGGTTAATATGTTTTAAGTATAATTTTAGACTTGAATATATAGAGTTTCATGTGCTGTGGTTGGTTTGCTTAGTAAATACTCCACCAATAATGTCTTTGCCTTCAGAGAATAATGGACGAAATCCACGTAGGCATAATGTTTTGACCATTTCAGACCACTTGTCATTCCCTTGAGAATCGCTATTTTCTATAGCAGTTTATTTTGAATTACAATAAGACCTCTTTTCTTTGTATACCATCCCCACTGCAATGATGTTATGCAAATGTATAAGAATGGACCTACAGGGGAGGGGGAGGGAAGATTATCTTGAATATACTTTAGAATAAAGATTATATAACAGTGGGTCAGTCAAATCTCTACCTTGCCAATCATTTTAAACAGAAATGTTTAGCAAAAAATGAGGTATAACTGAGCTATTAAGCCCTGTGGTGTATAAAGTTTATCTCTTACCAAAATCTGTTTGTTTTCTCTTCAACAGTTTATGCAGATGGTGGTATATGTTTAGATATTTTACAAAATAGATGGAGTCCTACTTATGATGTATCTGCTATCCTCACTTCTATACAGGTATACTTTTCATTCAAACAGACATGAATTTTGTTTTTTACATGCAATTTACTAATTTACTTTATGTAATTTAGTCTCTACTGGATGAACCAAATCCTAATAGTCCTGCTAACAGCCTTGCAGCCCAGTTGTACCAGGAAAGCAAGAGGGAGTATGAAAAGAAAGTCACTGTTATAGTTGAACAAAGTTGGATTAACAGCTAACTATGTGATCATGCCTCCAATCAACGTGGATTAGCAGTGCTTCTAAACTCATTGCTTGCTGAAATCAATATATAACATAAGACTGGCTGATATAGACAGGAGTTAAAATAAACTATGCTYTGTTACGAAAAAAGCCTTTCTTATGCTAATTAGGGATATAAAAGAGAGTTTTAGAATCTCGTTTACAGCAAACATGAAACTTAAGTTACGTTTACCAGTGAAAAATTCTTTAAAATTAGTAAAATGAATTGCAATAACCTCCAAGTGGTAATTAAACAAAATAACATTTGTCTTTGGTGACAAGGTTYGTAAAACGTAAAGTGAAATACAGGAAACGATGAAAATGTGATCATGTTTGCCATTTGCGGGAAGAAAAAAACGGCAATTTAAAGCTTTCTTACAAATATTTCGTTGTAAATTTGATAACYGTTACAGCAAGCAAAAAGTTTTGRTCTTTGTTTAGATCTACTGCAATCTAACAATTTCATATGTATATTGCTGTTACTTTATAGAATACAAACTGTTTGCTTTACCAAAAACTAGTAAATACAATAATTGTTTTCATTGTAAAAATTGTAATTTTGCTCTTTATTTTCATTATGCAGTAAAGCAGATATGTTAATGTACAATGAATAAGAGTGTTTACAAGAGTAGGAGAATGGGTGGGTTGAAATCAGTGCTAATATGTATTTGTACATATCATATTATAACATGTTTATAACAGGAAAATAAAGGCTTTTGATACAGTCAAATAATGTCAAATGTTGTGACTCATTTCTTTTTGTCCAAAACTATTTGATAGACTTCTTGTGGTAGTAAACTTTGGTCAACATCATCCTTTGGAATATCGTCCCATGGAGACTGGGTATAACCATTATAGTAAAGRAATACTCTTTTACAGTGTTCAAATGAAAGATACATCAAGCCAGTGTTAGGCACAATCTAGAATGTAGGAAAAAACCCATTACCCAGACAGGAAGCCTGATTCTCAATAGAATGATGTAATACATACCTTAAGTAGACTGACACTCAAGCCTCTCCATAACCCTAAAAAACCATTGGCTGTTACTGATGAAACAAAAGCACTGCACATCCCTTTGAATTTAACATCTACACCTCCATGTCCTGGAATATGTTTGCTACTGGCCTGAAGTATAAAGATGGTCAATTGGCTGGTTATTTTGTCATATTGTCTTACTAGAATCTTGAATTTATCTGTTTCYCTTAGTAGTGATCTTATTTGGCCCATGAAACAAAGTTGTATAATTAGTGACCATAGACCCCTTGCACTGAGTCCAGAGAGGATTTATTCTGGGGTACAAAACAATGAATTTTTTTGGCATAAGAAATGATGGCCTGTTGTTTTGTCCTCCAGAACAATTCCTCTCGTGCAAGGGGTCTATAAATAGAAGTTAATGTAAAAAAAGGAAATTGTACTAAATTACATTTACTATTTTTTTATGGCCTGAGTAAAATGAATGGACATTTTGGGTTGCATGTAATGTTTGCACATGAGAAGACACATGAATACGGATACAACTTAATCTTATTCTCAAGGAAATGACATTTGGTATGAAATGGGTAAACATTACGCCTAAGCCAAAAGGTATATCTCCTGACCTTGATACTCCTACTAACATAATTTCTTCATTTTTAATATTTAATTGTTTTTAAATCTGGGAGTTGTGAGATAATGATCATGATAAGGCTGACATAAGAAYAAATTAGCATTAAAAAGAATTTAATAGCTGTAGTGGAATCAAAGAGAAAATTAAACAGAAAAAGGTATCACTTGATAAGACATTTATGTATACCTGCATTTTCTTTCTAATAGTATCAAATGGGTAAGATAAGCTCTAGAAGAATAARCAAAAGTAATAAATATAAAAATCACAGAAATACAAATAAATTAACAGATAAAAGTATTTGATTGATAAGTATGTGTTATTTGCCAGTCAGGAGGACTGAAAAAAACTGTGCCCATGGTCTTGAATATATGTACTGAGGTTGTTATGCTCTGAATTTCAAGACCTCAGGCAAAGTTTTTCGACTATCTGGCCTAACTTTAGGAGGGTAAATTTATAACTTGTTAATGGTAGCCCTTTAATTTTTGACTTGTTTAGCAATTTGCGTGCATGYAAATGACATCAGGATAGCTGTCTGCAGACAGAATGCAAGAGTTTTAGGATACTGGACTGGAAAAAAATAAATGAATCWTACTTGTGCAAATGCAGATGCCAAACCACCTCCAAACAACATCTGCATCTGATAAGAGTAATTATTCTGGTCAAAGATCTGATCAAGTTGGTCAAACCAACGATACACCATGAAAGACCCACCAGCGAAAGGTATAACTCCTGTGTATAGAACATGTAATATGTAATRTAATATTAGAATAATTTGGACTATAACCTTCTAGAACTTAGTTGGAAAGGTTTTGCTGACATTAACTTAGAGTGTCTCTGATGTTAATATGATTATTGGCTRCAGACAATAACTACATTTCAGTGGACAGTTCAATAATGGTGTGTACTAGCTGTTGCCAATAACAACAAGTTCATTATATAGTTAGTAGGTAAAGAACTTATAGTCTGGCAGATTCATGTAAGAATTGTGGGATTTATGGTAAAAGCCCCAGAATTGACACATATATTGATCAATTACCTAGCCAAGTAATATTAGCTAAGGATTTATCATAAATCACACAATTCTCACAATTTTTGACATGAATCTGCCAGACTATAACTATTAGTGATGATCAGTTATATAWGGCTGTCATCTGGTATTTTATTCATTTTAATATTCAGAATAAATTTATAGTGAGACTGACCAAGTATTGAGGGTGAGAGTCCTTTATACAAGGCAAAAAATCCTTCTTCTTTCCATACAGTTCTGAAAGCATGTGTTATCCCATGGTATTTGGCTAAAGAAGGCTTTTTGACATGCTGCTGAACAATCAACCTTGTCCTAATGGTTTCACATGGATAAACAGCTAACATAGCTATCAATGTACTGGCTGATCCACAGAGCATTGAACCAGTGCTTGAGAGATACCCTTGGTAAGGATCTTCCAAAAMGTTCTGCAGATTAATAAACATTGGAAAGTACAACTACATGTTAAAATCCAATGAAATCAGATATTAATTTACAACCGAGATTTTCAATTGTTGAATACATTTGGATATCTTTAGACATAATATTATGATATTGATTGTTTGTCATCAAATATTGRAACTAACTTTATCTAAATAAAGATAGTGGTGAATTTTGTCTCAGTTAATCACAGAGTGATTTGCCACTGACCCTCATTCCCAGGATACTGTAACCCAACTTTTGGGTACTTTTTGTTTCCTTTTTACTAAAATATACATGCCTGTACAAGAAGCAGAAATGTGGAAAGGAATAATAAAAACAATTTCACTAGTGCCATGTTTGCTTCATTCTTTTAAGCTCCAAAAATGCTTAGGGCTGGTGATTTTGTCCACTCCTGCTTTGCATGGTGTTCACCACTCAGCTGGAATTTCATGAAAACATATTGTCCCCCTTTAAAATAAAAATTCTTAAAATTTTTCAAAATAAGTTTTAATTCAAGTTTAATCATTTATTTGTTTATTTCTTATCCAGCGCCTAGAGCAGCCCTGGATAAGCGCTTTAYGACTGTTTTATTACTATTATATATATCTTTAAATCCCCCCCTTACCCCCCAGCTTTCTCTGTAAATTTTTATTGCCTTAACTTATTGATTGATTATAAATTATTTGAGATATAACGCGTGCTCTGATTGGCTGGCTACCATGTTTATATCAGAGGACAGAGACACGCTTGTGCAACTGGTTGTTGAAAAATATTTTATAAAACAATATAAAAYCGCTGCTTATGTCTCTGTATTGTGATATAAACACTGACATAAACACCCTGACTGGGAGCTGTAGTGCACTTGAAAAGCAAGAGAAACACTTGGCTATGCCTTGTATTCCTAAGCTTGCTTTTCTCATGCTCTACACAGCTCCCAGCATTTTCATATCACAGTACAGACACATGGGCATGCATTTTATATTCCTTAAATATTAATTGCCTGCATCTAGATCGAATAAGAATGCACTCCACCCACTGTAAATTTGATTGATCAATCCAAAAATAAGCTAAAAAATAATAATCTTTGTAGAGAATTGTCAAAATGCTACCAGGCTGCAYTGCAATCCTTTAACAATGAAATGGGCTTATAATTAATGGAGGTTGGGTGTGGGAGGAGGTTAGGGGTGATGGCTTTTAACCAAGGGAATATTTCTGTAAGCAGATTCATCGCAAAGTAGGCTTAATACTTGGGGTCTTATAAATTTCTCTACTAGAAAAGGATATCAAGTCTCTTTTTTCACTAAAAAGCTGCTTTGTTTCTTATGCAAGCTTATAATATAAGCTTACCACATAAGTACTACTCACCACCAGATAGTTGAAGGTAATAAACTGCAGTGTACTGTATGGAAAGAGTCTTAGGCAAGTCATCCAGTTTCCTTTCCAAAAGGCCTTGATACCCTCATTTCTGTAGACATTGGTAAATGTTCTTGCAAGACCTCGTTTAGTGTTTTGTGTACCAACCTGAGATAAAACTTTCACGACTTCCAATGGAGAGGTAGCAGATCGAGAAAATATCACAGCTGCTCCTCCACAAATTARGTTCTGAAACCACGTAATTCTTTCATCATGTCTAGCAATGACCATCCTTTGTAATTCTTTTCATGTTCATGGCAAAGATTCAACTGTTATATTATTACCTCCTTCTTTTCGTTTTCCCTTAGTATCCAATATCATCCTGAACATTAATGACAAGAAGACTGGTAACTAAATACGCGCACCAAAGGAAGCCCAGTTCTAATTCAAAATTTCTTGGCCTCATCCAAGGCCCGTTGTTACACTGCGCAATGTTGTTGTTGTGCTTAGCGTTGCACCAAGTTTAATCCAGTTTTACTTTTCGCATTGGATTGCAACAACGGATAACACCATTGCACAATATATCACCCTCCAATAACTTTTCTCGTAATTTAAGGCATATTTTTCAAGAACGCATTTGCACATTTCTTTTTTCTTTCCGAGGAGCCAAAATATGTTTTGCGTTGCAATGTAACATCTCACCTCGACAACTTGCAATTTCAAGCATTGCGATAGACAAAATAGAGAAAAATTAGAGAGAAAATTGCACAGCGTAACAGGCCCTAAAATYAAAATTATATTTATATTGAACAAAAGCGAAGGACAAATAAATAAAAGACTTGTCAAACGACATCACTACAAATGTGATTAGCATCTTTATTAGCCGATTGGATCAAGCGAATAAAATGTAATAAATGGTGTGCAATGGATATTGATACAGTAAAAGGGGCCAGGATAATGTTCATAGAGATGGATAGAAGTGAGGGAAAAGTCATTCGGTCAAAAATTCTTTGCAACTGATGGGCGTTAATCACTAGACCTCCAGTAGATGTAAAGTTGTTGGAACTTGTCGAAACCAGCTAATACACCAGCCCCAGCCATTCCACGGAGAATATTTGCGCCTGCACCCTTCATCAATGATATTGCACCTTCATTTTTAATGACTTGAATGGTGCAGTCAATGGAGCCTTTGTATTTCACGGCTTCACCTGAGGTCATCATCATACGCCTTCTTATGGTATCAATTGGATAAGACGCAAGTCCAGATGTCACAGTCACGATGTAACCAAGCATGAAAGACGCTACGAGATTGGCATTCTCTCCAAGCAATACAGGCTTCAGCGTGTCATACAAACCAAAGTAGAATCCACGATAGATGACAATACCGACACATGATATCACAAATCCGCGATACAGTCCCACGATGCCATCGCTTTTTAGAGTCTTGACGTACACATCAATCAAACCATTGAACTGGCGCTCCCCTCCACCCTTGGTAGTTGATTTGGCGTCATTAGCCAATCGCGTACGGGCGTAGTCCAGAGAGTACACGAACGTTAGTGACATGGCTCCTGCGGCACCTCCTGATGCAATGTTCTTGCTGAACTTTACAGCATAGCTGTCTGATTTTTTTGATTTGAATATCGCTTTGATTTGATCTTTAAAGGCGAAGTTCAGGGCCTGAGTTGGAAAATACCTGATACAATTGGCGAGGTTTCCTAATAAATAAATAAAAATGTATAAAATTTCAAATGTAAATCCTTTTTTTCCTTTAAAAACTTGATTTATGACTTTTTTACCAATGAGGACAGGGTCACCACAACGACATAGCCAATTACTGTGTGCCCCGTAGTATTAGCACGGGCACTGAAAATGGTCATCACCAGYGTCTTCAGTAAGTCTTTTACGTCCGCCTTATACACCCTTCTCATAATGGCTGATAAACGCACGGAAACGAGGTCACCCAGTCATTTTGCAAGGTTTGCACTAAATCGACCATTGTAGCTGGCATCCTACAGGATTTTAGCTATGCGGGAATGTAAAAAAGATGGCGGATTCGGGTAGTTTTTTTTGGTGATAAAAGGTAAGTTAGCGCACTAAACAACGATAAAAATCCCCTTTTCTTGCAAGAAATATATTCTTAGTAGATATCTAAAGTATAGAGTTTTGCTATTGGCTTGCTAAGAAGAGAAAAAAAATATGGYATTTTTTGCGCTACGATGTTAAAACCTACGAAGTGTTTAGTCTTGTTTCGCCGGCTGCATGACCTCAAAACATATACCATATTTTTTCCTTTTCCTGGCGAATGAATAGCAAAAATCTACTTAAGGTATYAATTAAAAGAATATTTCTTGCAAGAAAAATGCATTTTTCAAGGATGAAGTTGAAAAATACTCGAAATTTTTCGACAAGAAGTCGTTGTTTTGAGGTCATGAAGTCGGCAACACAAAGGTCATTTTTTGTACTTTTCTTCTTTAAAGTCATTTCATGTAATTTTATATCTTTTATCGTGAAATAATGACGGGGTGACCTCGTTTTCRTGCACTTGTCAGCCATTATGAGAAGGGTGTATACAGGGCTATATAGTGAATACAGACTAGGCCTACGGTTTTGAGTCCTTGTMCGAGAAGACTTGAAGGTCTAACGCATTTGTAGATGTAATTATAAAGGGTTAGGTTTATAAAGGGTTACTAACTTTGTGCATGACTCACCTCTCCAGAAAGACAAAAGGCCTTCAGCTTTGAAAGTCCTTACGGTGCAATCAATAACCCCCTTGTAGGGCGAGGSCAAGCGGCCTGACTTTAGCATTTCATCTTGGTTTTGTACCAGGAGCTTAACTCGTTCAATTGGAGCTGCAGCAGTTTTAGAAATGATAGCAGCAGCACCACTCAAGGCAAAATTCTCGATAAAGTGAAGTTGTTTCTTTTCTGGCATCTGTTGAGTAGGGTTTAATTGATTGAAAAAAATGTAACCGCAATTCTTCAAAGCACACACACTTATGTATCTTACCTTGTATTCTGTAAATTAACCCGAACTCGAAGGTTTGTCCGAACGATGGACAAAGTTGTTCGTCTTGAACTGGTTTCTCGAAACAAATTGAGTGACGTATCAATTCTAACTAGTTAATTGATTGACATTTGTCTAATTATGACATCGTGTGGTCAAATCATTTCTCATTAATTTCGTCACATCAAATAATTATTATAACGAATGACTTCTATTAGTCCCAATTAATGATGTCATAATAGTTACGTAAATTCTCTAATTAATGATGACAATAAGTTGCGATTTCACAAATGGATACAGATAGTCAAGGTTTCACCCTGCTGACATCTATATTTGTTATTTAATAATTATTGCGAAGAGATMTTTTATTCCTAACAAAACTTACCATTCATAATTACAATTATTTATTAAACATTACAATTTATTAAAATTATCTTCTCTAGAGCATACTCTGCATTTAAAATTCAGTTATAAAACACTCGCAATATCAAAGTCACAGATAAATATCGCTTATGACTGATTGACCCGGCCGATACATTTACGGATACCAAAATTCATATTACTTATTCTTGGTCTTCACGTCACGTCATCAAATAACTTAAATCCAGAGTATTCACTCCACAAAACTTTTTGTCGAATATGTTGTTTATAGCGTTATAAGAAAAGTCTTACCAAAATCGTTATTTTAAGCCTACGTGATTTGGCCGCCATATTGGTGTCCCTCAATGAGATCACCAAGATTTCAACATTTCCATTAAATTATGAGCATAAAACTTCTTTTAGCTAGAATTTTGGCCGAGTTATATAGTTTTAGCTACTCTTTTGGCCTGTGGAAGTTTTGTTTCATATAAATCCTGGCAACATTTTTGATGACGTAGGTGAAAACCAAGCGTTCACTTCAGAGAGGGGATATGTCTGATGAAGTGCACTTTTAAGGGAAACCAACAAGCCTGTTGATATCTTAATTCACCACAATAAAATGCGTGTGAGTGTAAACACACGAATACAAGTATGTACTCGATACTTGTGCCTGTAAGCAGGGAAATACAGGTCAGCCATACAGAAAACACTCATGTGTCAACGCGGATATTCGTACTATTTGGTTGTTTGAAAATAATAGACAATTATTACTTTAGATTTTATATTTATGTCACAAAAGCAATTATTTAGTTTTAAAATAACTARTCTTCGACAATTAAAGGAAATTACTTTTTCAAAGCTTTTCTTGGAACACTCGTTTATAAAATAACCACGGGTAGCTTYTTTACTGTAGGTTTCTTATGTGTTGGATTTATGTTGGATTTATTTCATATTACAAGTTCTTCAACTGCTCTAGGAGATCTTGCGCTTCGCTCTCCGCCCGTTGATCTTTATTTCGTCTTCGTGGTCGTGTTGGGTTGTTTTCTTCATTAGCGTCATTCCCATTGGCTGGTGAAGCCAGTTCTTGCGCTTCCATTATCTTTTGCACAGGAATATTTGAGCGAGTGCGAGACCTTYGCAAATCTACGGGACGACCTCCTGTAACAATAGATCGCATGTCATCGATTGAAGCAGACAGTTAATCAATCAATAGTTTCAGGGAGCCTTACCCTTTTTAGCTTGTGCCTTCTTTCTTGGTGGCCTGGAGGGATCTCTGAAGGCACTCCCAGTCTGTAAAGCTTGCATTAGACCATCCAACACTCCTTCTTGGTCATCATCTAATATGCATCATAAGGTAAGTCAACGCTTCWCCAATATATTTATAGTACGATAACAATACTCACCCATATTCATGTCTACCAATGGATTTCTCTTCTGTCTTTCTGAATCCTTTTGCCTCTTACGCTCTTTCTCTTTCTCCTGTTGACGACCAGAAGAGTTGTAATACTAAATAGCAAATATACGCAACGGGCTGGYCTCGGGTACCAACAATAATCGGATAAGTCCTCCCAGTGCCCTRCCAGTTGAGCTACGAGGTGAGACCGAGTGTAGGCCGTGAGCAAGCAGATAGTAGAAAGAGAAAGAGAAAGCAAACCACGCAAGCATAGTAATACCCAAKAGGTCGCGATGGGATTCAGCCTCGATGAATTGTGGGTATTTCTAGCTCTACACAGTTTCCTTGGTTTCACACATCAAATCATACTGAATAACTAATAATAAATAATAATAATAAATACTGAATAACTAATTTGATACACTGACTTACCGCTCTCTCCTTTGCTTTTCTGTCTTTTTCTTCTTTTTCTTTCCTTTTATAATTATCTTTTCTTGATGCCTGAAAGCGACAAGGAGGACCATTTTATTAATGGTTTATTGATCAAAGGRGGTCAGTATGTGGTAATTTACCATGTACTGGTCAATAAAAATCTTGAGGTCACCAAAGAATTCTTCCATAGACACTTTCTTTGGATCCATACAGAAAAATTCCAGTACTTCTTTGAACATGGTTGTCATATTTTTTTGCATTTCTTCCAGCACATCTACTTGATCTTTTGCTCCATCATAAAACTCGTAATGATAAGTCAAGGACCATAACTCAGGAGTATCTAGATAGACACTTAAGCCTAATCTAATTTTGATACWTTTATTTACACCTAAAATGAGAGACAGCGCTCCAGAGAAAGGACCTAATAATTATGATGACTATAAAAATGAATGAACTAAAGGATATCTTCATGACTTCATGAAATYTATCATCTGGGTGTGGATTCTTCTGCATCACTTTAAGTTCGTTTTCAATCTTTTTCAGGTTAGACTGCATGTTGTTGATGGACTTGGTAAGAATCTCCTCCGATACTGGTACAAAAGAAATTGATGGACTTAATATCAAGCATTTTACCACTGACACAAATTTTATCCATCCATCCATCCATTTAACCATCCATCCATTCATCCATCCATCTATCCATCCATCCGTCATTGATTCATTCATTGATTCATCTGCTCACCTTTACCAGCAGCCTCGATATGAGATAGCTCGTTTTCAAACCCTGCAATTTCTGGGTATTTTTCCTCCACGGATTCAGCCAAAAAGTGAAGTAGATTTTTATGTCCATCAACAGATTTTGTAGAATTGAGCTGAAACAGACAAGCAAATTATCACTWTTGATCAGGGATACCATTAGCCTCCCATGTTTCCAAGCTGAATGTTTTCATCACCTTTGTTAAGTAGTTCATTTCAAATCCTATTGTGCCTTCGTTTCTCGAGCCGGCGTTCATGTAGTTACCAAGCAAAAGAATTAACTAAGAAGAAAGGTCGTTAATAACAAGAATAACTTTGGACACAGAACTTTTAATTATGTAAAAAACACTTACTTCAAGAAGTTTCCCAAACTTTGGACTTGTCTTGACTTCTCTACATGCCGCTGTTGCATTAACCACATTCTTTAACAAAAAGGAAAGTTTTATGGTATACTTTATATGAAGTATTCTTATAACCTGCTATTTTAAAAGCTTACAGCTTACCGGTTTTGTATCTGCCATCTCTTCTGGAAATTGCAGCATAAACAGCATAGAGTTCAGCCTCTTTTCAAGGTTTTTGATGTCACTTAGCTGTTATCCAATTATAAAGATAAAAAACATAATGGTAATMATTTTATATAATCATTAAAAATATAGTAAGAATTATGTAGAAGGATAATATCCWGTTCTTACATGACAAGCAAATTGTTCAGGATCACTCAGTTCACTGATATTATCTTTCATATTGGACAGCTGATCCATCTGTGAAATAGAAGATTCAATTTGTTMATTTATTTGCGATCAATCAAATACCGAAGAAAAACATGAATAGTAACCAACCTGATCTGCTGAAGGCAGATACTTTAGTAAGGATTCCAAAGCACTGACACTGAGTTTCTCTTGATCACATCTCAGAATATGCTTTTTGATTTCTTCATGTGATAATTTCATGGAACCAAGGAAGATAGCTGAAGATTCAAATTATACAAAGGGCTAGGTAAGCCTTATTAATTTCTTTTTGAAGCAGATTTACTTWTATGGTCATTTGTATAATCTTTGGCAATCGAATGAAGATATTCTAATGCAGGATTTTTTTTATCCTAATCTAATTTATTTATGGTCTTTTGTYTTTTAATATGCTTCAAAAAGAAATTCAGTCATGCTAAAAATCAAACTTTAAGTAAACTTAAAATTTAACAAAAAATAAATAAAAGATCCAACACTACAGAATATCAAAAAATGTGAAATTTTGATTTTACTAAATAAAAAGTTTTTTTACTGTATATAAGTTTTTCAGTTAATGAATAAAGATAATGTGTGACAGGCCATTTTGTGATGTAATCAACAAAAGAAATCTTCAAATTGCATTATTGTGCATGCTCATGCTACCCATGCAATAAAACTCTACAGAATCACCTTTATTAATGGAAGAAGAATGTACTTACACATGTTCTGTGCACTCTTTGGATCCAATACTTTAAGTTCTTTAGCCTTCTTTTTTTGYACAGGCTTCTCTCCACCATCTTCCTTGTCCAATTTCTTTGGGGCACTCTTCGCAGCAAATGTTCGAGACAGCTCTTCAAATAATTCTTTTCTTTCAAGTTTGTCTTCCTTGGTTTTGGCCCAGAAGCAGTTTTCAGTTAGATTTCTTGTGTTGATCTTCAAATAATAATAATACCAACAAACCACAGGTCAGATTAACAGTACCATGTTTTTTCCACCTAACAACACACAGTGCTTGAATGTGAGGCCACAAAGGGAAAATCTGTCGTTCAAGTTCACATAGTCCAGAATTGAACCCACTTTTCACAATTGTGTTTATTGTTTTACTGKCACAATTCTAGTTTAGTACAAATTTTGCATACTTCCGTCTTATTGTGAACAACATGAATACCATGTGATAAAAGTCCATAATATATGGTATATGTCATCCAATTATAGTATAATGCTTTGGGAAATACTTCTAAATAATAACTATCATATGAGAATAGGAATAAATAAAATTCAAAAGAACAAGGTCATTCTTCGGTGCTGTTATGAAACATTAATATACCACACAAACCTCCCCCAAYCCACCATAAAAGTGAGTATGGTTGTGTACCTTATTCCAGTTGGCTCTTTTAGTTTGTATTTCAGGCTTGTACTTTTTTTTTGGGAGTACACCAGGTGGTAACTGTTGTCCAGGAGGTGCAAAAGGAGGAGGCATTCCACCTGGTGGCCGAGGAGGACCACCCATACCTGGTGGAGGTGGGGGCGGTGGTGGTCCTCCACCCACTCCTGGTGGGGGTGGTGGTGGTGGTGGTCCTCCACCCATTCCTGGTGGGGGTGGGGGTGGAGGTGGTGGTCCTCCACCCATTCCCGGTGGGGGTGGTGGTGGTGGTGGTGGTGCTCCCCCTATTCCAGGTGGGGGTGGAGGAGGGGGAGGGGGCGCTCCAACTGCTCCTGGTGGGGGTGGTGGAGCTGGCACTGAAAAGCAAAGAGATACTGTAATTTAACAACAATCAACTAGCTATTTATAGACACCATGAATCTCTTAACTTTTTAACAACATTATATATTAAGCAAACAAAAAACAAAATAATTTATGTACTATTTAGTTAATTTGCAAGTGCATTGTGCTCTTCTAAATGCATAAAATTATTTTTTCCCTTTCTAATGTCAGAGTCTTTGTGTAGCTTGATAGACTGATCAATATATCTTTAACAATGATTTAAACTTTCAGGTTATATAACGTTATAAAGTGCCAAGTGCAGAATATTGAAAATTCTAATCAACTCACTTGCTGTTACCCACATCTCAGTCTCTGCATCATTTATGTTTAAGTTATTAGATAATGATGATAGTGGCGATGAGGATAATGGTGGTGATAAAGAAGACGATGATGGCTGTGATGATGATGATAAAGCCAGTGTTGATGTTGGGAATAATAGTGGTGTTGAAGATGTTGGTTTTGATGAAGTTGATGATGGTGGTGGTGAT